AATAAAACCAGGTTTAAACAGCTGAAAAAAACCCAACAAATCCGAACATTCCAAACCCACAGCAACCATAAAAAGGATACTCATTTCATTTCCCAGAATGTAACAAATACTGCTTTTGAAAAGGCTTGCTAAGGAAGAACTTCCATTACAGAAACCAACACTGTTACTCTGTTCATAGAAATTCATGTTCGGTTAAGAAAACTGTTAAAGCATGTTAACCTGGTAAAACATCTACTGAACAACAGTTACATAGTAGTGAATATTTACTTGGGAAACACAGTGCGTAGGCACTCAAACCATATAATTTCCTAGCGTTTGTAATTAATGCCTTCAAACGCCAGTCTCCAATCACAGAAAAGTCAAGAGCTGCTCCAGTAATAAAGCAACTGCAAGCCAAACCTGAGATTATCAGAATCAGACATTTCTAAATATGCCCCTAATCAAAGTGAATTATTCAGTGACCAAAGCACAAGAAAACAAGAAAGAAAATGTAATCCAAGGTGACTTCTTTGAAGGAGACAAGTTATACTGCAACAGGTGGCCAGAACACAGATTTAGGCTGTAGGGAGCTTGGGTAGTTTTAAAAGTTGTTTCCTAGCCAGGAAGACAACATGCAATTCCCACACTATGTATCTCTTTGCCTCCTAGCTGAATAGCAGGTCCACACACACACAAGTTTGTACATTTAGAATCAACAAATCAGAGTCTTGCAGTCAGACACAAGAAACTCAGAGTTTCAGGTGCAAGGTTCAATTCCTAACGGCAGCGACCCAAACAGGTTCACGGTCATTTAGTGCAAGTAACCGATATGGCGGCTTCTGCTGACACGAACCATTGTCTGGCATACTGCCTACCAGTAGTAATGCTACAGTTCAACTCTGAGTTCAACTGGGTTTTCCCTTACAAGTCTCATAATTCTCATGGAAAAAAAGTAACAATTAACAAATAATCAAGTGAACTTGATCAATTCCCTTGTGTAAACAGAAAAATCCGGAAGTAATGAGTTTATTACAGACACAAGGTACGTTTTAGTACCTTTTGCATTAAAGTTCGAAAAACGAAGAACTTTTATACAATTAAAAATATTTTATAGTGTATTTATAACAAAATCCCCAATCCTACCTTTAATATCATGGTGTGCCTACAGCCATTTGAAAAAATAAATAAAACAATCTACTAGATTATACTGAAAATTATTTTGTTGTTTATATATTTTACTTTGAAAACATACTTTCATGTTAGCTCTAATTTTGTAAAACAAATAAATTAGCAAATTGATTACATTAAAAATAATCTATCTGCATAATACTGGTAGCTCTTCAGTATAACAGAAGTGGAGGAGCACCAGTATCTGTGACAATCCCAAATTAAAAGGCAAAGCCAGATGCATTTCACCGTGTTTTTGCCAGACCATACAATGTTACTGATTCCGACAGGCAGCTATTGCAGCAAGAAGAGATGGACAAGTGCTTCGGCACTTTGGTCACAGGACAGCTGATCACCATCACAAATAAAATAATTTTCAAGCAATTTTTTTGGTTTTTAACTCAGTGCTGAAAAGCAAATCAAACCAAACTAGGTGCCACTGCTAAAAAGTCATCTCATAAAAGTACAAGCTAATTTTAGTAATTAATAATTCCAACAGGCACTTCACAAAATAAGCAAAATTGCAAGAAGCAGATGATCTGACTTATCTGTTGCTCTTGTCACTTCCTGTCATGTTTCACAACAAGCAAAGGACAGGGTGGGATTGAACAAGAACTATACTTACATAAACACAATGCTCTATTAAACATACCTTACCTGTCCACCTAAAATTTCATTAGTTGCTGTGCCTTAATGAGGAATTACAAGCCACGACTCAGCAGATAACAAGAGGAAATAGAGGGCGGGGAGGGGAAAAAACTAGTATGCAAGAAGCACACAAACTGAACTTTACAGTTGGCATCAACAGGTGGAGGATAAAGCAATGGAAGAGAAAGTGAAGAGAGTTGCCTAGAGGGCACTGGCTACAAAAGATTTGGAAAGAAAATGAAAGCCGGTACAAATTACATTAACATTTTGTGTGGCAAAGCAAGTCAACCAATAGAAAAATGAAATCTATGTGAGAAGGTTTGTTAAACCCAATAACTGTTCTCTCTATAGCAGCAAGTGTCCAGGGAAGAATATAAACAAAATGGTACTTCCCTGTTATACTCTTGTCCCCAAATCTTTTTGTCCCTCAGCAAGTGATCATATGCCATACACTGGCATTTGTAAACAGCGTTTGCAAACCAAAGTATAACATCAACAAACAAAGGAACCCTACCCAGGAATGAGACACTAGGGAGCGGCAAAACATAAACTGTTTTGTTTTGATTAAAAACCCTGCTATATTCAAAACAGGGTAGATCATTTTGGCTTGTAATCATTATTGACATATACTTGAACTCAAAGTTGTAATACCTATTAACTTTGCTACATATAATGCCTTCTCTTCCTTCTAAGCAACTGACTCAGTCCCCATAATTGTAATGCCATGCCAGACCAAGAACTGACAAGACTGACCGCAAAAAAAAAAGCAGCAGCAGAGAAGACAGGTGCATAAAAAAAGTAAAATAAATATTGTCCCAAGTACTTGGGACAGTACAGAAACCACTTGTCACAGTACAGCTACAACAACGCTGAGATCAAGAGGGTTCATAGGTAATCAAAGGCTCATAAGAGATAATAAGGGATACTTATCTCGGAACAAAGTTTCCCTCTACTGCCCATAAACTCATGCTTTTATTTTGGTTGACCACTCCCCATTTATAACCTCTAGAGATTTACGGTTTTTGCTTTCATATGTGAAACTTCAGAACTATGCACACACCATTTCTATTCACACCTTCCTAATTGTCTTTTAATACTTTCTGGTCTGTCCATGGTATTAGCTCATTTGCATTTTGGCTAGCTTTCTTTAAGGTTCCTAATTACTATGCCACTTACCCACAACTTTTTGCCAAAGCACCAATTTAATTCCAGCTTAAATCAATCCAAGTTACAGCTGTACAGTCCCTCCTTCCACCCTGCCTGTCCTCTTTACTCACCCTTTCACTTACCTGAACCCCATAACAAGTCATTTCAGAACACTGAACTAAAGATCTGCCAGGATTGGGTCCCTGAACTAGGTCACTTAAGAGTAAAATCTGTGCCTGTTCGAAAGAAGGGGTAGAAACCACAGGCCCTGATTAGTTAAAAAAAAAATAGAAAGGATGCACTATCAAAGCGAGTTACATACAACTCGCTCTGAATCATTTCTCTAGACTTCCTTTGTCACATCTCAGAGAAAACATGTTGACAAGAAACTGGAAGCAGTAGTGACATAAAAAGACGCATACAAACTTACAGGATAAAGAAGTGTTAAGAGACAAGAGTTAAAAGAAATAAGCAAGTGCTGAAAAATGTCAAAATTAAAATCACACACACAGAAATTTACAAAACTGAGATCAAGATCAGAATGGCAATCACTGTGCAATCTGAGCTATAAAGCTAGCAGATCCAAAAAAAGCTGGCAGAACCAGATTTGATACAGATTGTTATTGCAATACAACACAGGGAAAATACACTGAGAAAGACAAATACAGAAATACACTCTTCATGTAAAAAATCTAAACGGCTGTTTGTAGCCTCTAGCTACCTACTGCTGAAGTAATGCTAAGGTTTGACAAAAGCACAAAGTATTATTTTATAATGAGTGCTACGTGAAAGAAGACAGCCAAAGAGATTTAAGTACCACAAAACGCCTGTGAATGGCTTAAGAGCAGGACCCTTACACAAACACCCGGAGTGACCGGTGCGCAGCCCCTGCCTACAGGATTCGGCCGCCCTCCCGTACCAGAGCCCACGCTCACGCGAACGGACGCTTAGCGGAACTGTAAGCAAAGACACAAACACG